CGTGATTGCACGCCGCTCGATCATTTGAACTGGGCTCTCGGTCTTCCGTCCTGTGACGAGCTTCCCTCCCTGCAGCTGTGGCAGGCTCGCTTTGCCGGTCGCTTGCCTTCGACGGGCATGCGCTGGCCGAGTCCCGCGCTGCGTGCCTCGAGCACCGGCGGCAGCGCAAGCGTGTGCTGGACCCGCTGTGGGCGGGCAAATTCGCGGGATTGCCCGCGCGCGTCCGCGGCGTTCTAGGTCCGAAGAAAAATTTGCTTGTTCTGACGGAGATGCTCGAGGCGATCAGCTGGCCCGACGCCCGGCTGGCGCGCGACCTGCAGAGTGGCTCCCCTCTGATTGGCGAGATTCCGCGTAGCGGGGCTCTGCCATGCATTTCTTTTTCCGTCGCTGAAAATGCGGTTTCTTTGCGCGCGCAGGCGCCGGTTTTGAACTCTGACGCGCGTCGCCGTGTGAGGCGGCCTCGGGCTGTGGAGCAGTCCGTTTGCGATGCGTTTGAGCTGAAATGCATCGAAAAGGCCAGCGATGGCCTCGCAAGGCGGTGCCCCTTGCGTGAGACGCGCGCGCTCACAGCCAGGTTTCCAGCCGACGAGGGCTGGAAAGGGGATTCACGGAAGGTGCGCTGCATCGATGATTTTTCGGCATCCCGCGTGACTGCGGCTGTTTCAGTAGGCGAGGCCATCCAGCGCGACGCGCTGGACCAGTTCGCTGCGGTTGCGCGCGCGGTTGTCCGCGCGGGCGCTGGCGGAGCCGCGCTTCGCAAGGAGGATTTCGTGAGTGCGTTCAAGACCCTCCCCCTCGCGAGCCCCCACCTGCAATTTGCGGCGGTGACGTGGGGTTCGGCCGAAGCCCGCGGACTGTGCCTGCAGCTCCTCGCCTGTCCCTTCGGCGCCGTCGCGTCTGTGTACAATTGGGAACGCTTTGGTGCTGCCGCCCGGGCAATTTTGGCCAAGCTGTTCCATGTTGTTTTCCTCCGGTTCGTGGACGACCTCTTTGGGGTGGACAGAACCGTCGATGGGCGCGCCACACTTGGCAACGCCAGCTGGGGCCAGCGCAGTTGCCGCAGAGGTGGTATCTGACTTGCTAGGGTGGGAGCTCGACGCTTCCAAGCGCGCGTCAGCTTCCGCAGCGGCTCCGATCCTTGGAGTTGATTGCGCGGTCGAGCGCGAGGCCTGCACTGTGCGTTTGTCGGTTGGCCCTGACAAGCTCACACGTTGGAAGCGCCAGATTCAGTCCATTCTGGCACGGCAGGGGATTTCCCCAGCGGAAGCCAAGAAGTTGGCTGGCAAGCTCAGTTGGGGAGCCTCAGCGGTTTTCGGCCGAGCAGCGCGCGTGCATTTGGCACCCTTGTTCCGCCGCTCTACTGGAGAGCTTGGGCGTTGGACCGGGCGCCTGGAGCGGGCGCTTCAGTGGTGGCCGCGCTTTCTAGACTGCGCGCCGCAGCGGTGCGTATTTTGCGCGCAGCCCACAGCCAGGATCAAATGCGTAGTTTACTCTGACGCCACCGGTCGCGGTGACCTCGCCTGGGTGGTTTGTGCGCCCAACGCGCGCGTCTGGTCCTCGGCGCGAGTTTCCAGTGCTGTCTGGCGCTGGGCTTGCTAAAGAAAAACGCAAGTTGCCACCTGGGAGCTGTTGGTCGCGATTTGCGCGCTGCACCAGCTTCAAAACCAGAGCTTTGGCGAGCTTGAGGTTGTCTTCTTCGTAGATAACTAGACGGCTCTCGGCACCCTGCTCCGCGGGTCGTCGCGGCAGCCAGACTGGAATGATCTTCTCGGGGATATGGCTGCGCGTCGCCAGAACAGGCACCTTTCTGCATGCATTCTATGTGCCCAGCAATTTAAATCTCGCGGATGCGCCCACGAGGCAGCAGCACAAGAAAGCAGAGTTGCAGCGGATGGTCGAGGCAGGTTGTTCGCGCGCGTCGTGGGTAGATCTACCGGACGCCCCATGGCAGTGCTAGAGTAATACCTGGAGGGTTGTGCTGCACTGGTCCGCTTCGGAAAATATGCGCCCGCTGCTACTCTTGTCGGATTCCAGTGCAGGTGTCAAGTTGCGTCGACCGCATGCCATCCGTCGCCTTTGGCTCAGCGTGATGCCTCGTTTTCTCGATGAGAGTCGCGCGAGCGCCGCGGCCCCGCCCGGGCGGCAGCTTGTTGTGGCAGCTGGGCGCGCTGGTGATACGTCGCAGGAATTTGCCCTGCCAGATGTGCTAGTGGCCCTGGTCAGACAGGCGGCGAGCGCACATCCTCCAGGGCGTGATCTCGCAGCTCTTTGCTCGGATCTTGCAAGAGCTGGGGCCGCCGATGCATTGGATTTTTGCGGGCTGGCATGTCAGGAGGCTCAGCGGGTTTGGCCGTCGCTGTCCTCGTGCTCACCGCCATGCGTGGCACGGCTTGTGGAGTTGTGCGAGATGGAGTCTGCGCGCCGCGACGGCCGCCCCGCATCGTCGCAGCTAACGGGCCGCCCTGCCGAGCCACCAGCTCATGTGGTCCCAAAACACCCAGCCATAGGTGCAGAGAGTGGGCCTGCAGGCCGCATCCAACGGGGGCAGGCAGCTTTGGCGCTGGTGGCGGAGGCCAGGGGTCGGTCAGAACCGTTGCCCCCGGCCGTGCTGGCGCAGCCATCCGCGACATGAGCCGATTGCCCGAAAATCCGTCTGGGCAGTCCGACATTCTTCCGCGAGCGGCTTTGAAGAGAGCGCGGACTAATCAGGCAGCAGTTTTTGATTTTCAAAAGCAGGCAGCGTGGATTGAATTTTGTGGGTGGAGGAAAAGTGCTCCGCAGTGCGCGAGTGCAGTTCAATTGTGGGGTGAAGCTGCTGCGCTTGCGAGCGAGCCCCCCTGGCCGGCGGGTCATTCAACCCTGTCGGCATTTGCAAGCCTATTCCGCAGCAGCGCCTCTCTGGGACGGCACTTGTCTCAGATTCGTTCAGTGGTGGTTTTGTTGCGCCTTCCTCTTGGGGAACTTGCTGACACGGTGAGAATTGTACGCGGAGCAGACAAGGCATTCGCGTCGCATGTGCGTCCAAAGATGTGGGCGTCAGCAGCCCAAACGAAACTGCTGGCGGAATGGGCCTCGGACGCAGGGCGTTTCGATGTGGCCAGGTCCTGGGTGGTCTCGCGCCATTGTTGCCTCAGGTTTTCTGAAACAACGTCGCTGGGCTCAGAGCTCGCCCCCTTCCGCTTCGACGGCGACGGCGGCGATGCAAGTGCGATTCTTGCCTTCAGGAGGCGGAAGTGCTACAAAGTGCCGGTGGATGTCGTGCGGCAGTGCTTGTGTGCTTGGGGGGGGGGGCGGCTGTCGTGCGGAGTATGCGCGTTGCGCGAGGCAGCCCAGGCCGCTGGCGCTCCTTTCGCGCGCATCACGTACCCGGAATCACCGGGTTTTCTGAAGGCTGCAGCTTCGGCCCTGCAACTACCAGACGCGCAGCATTGGGGCACGCGCGCCTTCAGGAGGGGCTTCGCAAACGACGCGTTGTGTGCTGGTGGCCCCTCGGCGTTGTTCTGGTCAGGGGGGTGGCGTGGCGTGGCGGCGTTTGGGTGCGCCGCGGCCCAGTCTCGTGGGAAGCTGGCAGCGGCCGAGTGGCTTGCAGAGTTTTCCGAGTCCAGTGGGGGCGAAGGCCAGGGCGCCGGTTAAACCGCAAGCCGCCGGTGACCAGATCCGTTCGGATGCAATGGGCGCTGTAAAAGGACGTCCGAAGTGCATCAGTCCACGTCGGCCTCGTCGGCAGATCCGCCGCCCTTGGCAGCCCCACTCTGGATCCATTGGGCCATTGGTGAAGTCCAGATTGGGCCAACCTGGCGGCGCTTCTTGTCCCGCGCGCCCAACGGTGGCGCGGGGGCGCCGACCATTAGCTTTGCTCCAGGCGCGGTCCGACAGGGTTTTCATCGCCCCAAAATCTCGGGGCGATTTGGGGGGCAGGAAAATCCTGGGGGCGGGCCCGTTGGTGGCCTCTTCCCCTCGGGGTCTCTGCGGCGTTTGGTGCTCGCCCTCACTGCTTGGCAGTGCCTTGACGGAACGGCGGACCTTTCTCACAGTCGGTGGCCGCTGGCCGGCGGATTTGGCGCGGGGGTGCCACGCCCTGCCTCCTTCCGCTTGTCCTCCGCTTCTGTTGCTGGCGGTTGGTTGGTTGATTGGTTGGCGGGCTTCTCGGCCCGCGGGTCTGCCCCGCGGCGCCGGCTACCGTTCAAACGCCTCAGCGCTGGCCACCGCGTGGATCGGCAACTGCAGTTGGGTGTCGCTGGTGCTCTCGTCGCCACTCTGCGTGCTGCCGGTGCTGTCGTCGCCACGTGTGGGGGGTTGGCGCGGCTCGCGCTTGTCTCTCGTTGCCCGCCCTCGTCCTCCCTGTGGCGCTGCGCGCAGGTCGACGTCGGCGCCCCTGCCAGGCGGGCCATTGGCGAAGTCCAGATTGGGCCAACCTGGCGGCGCTTCTTGTCCCACGTGCCCAACGGTGGCGCGGGGGCGCCGACCATTAGCGTTGCTCCAGACGCGGTCCGACAGGATTTTCCTTCCTTGGCTCCGTTGGTTTCCTTGGCTTGCCCTGCCTTCCTCGGTGGTGCGTGGCTGTCTCCCTCTCGGCTTCCATCTTCCTGCTTCCCCCTTGCCGCGTTCCTCGGCCCGGTCGTCGTCGTCCTCGCCCCCCCCCCCCCTATCCCCCGTCCCCCCTCTCCCTGCTCCTCGGCTTGTCCTCGCTGGCTCCCTTCGTCGCCCTGCTTGTCGGCCCGCCATCGCTGGCCTGTCGCGCGTGGCATGCTTCCATCCGCGCGGCAAATCTCAGGAAACAGGCGGCGTCGAACAGCGCCGGGATCGGTGCAGCACCGGCGCCAGCGCAGGCCGCCTTCAGCGGCGCGCTGGCCCCTCTGAAGGGGCCACCCTCGCCCCTCCCCCCCCCCCCCGCCCCCTCCGGGTCGGCCCCTCCTGCCCCCCCCCCCCGCCCGCCCCCCTCCCCCCCGCCGCCGCCTAGACTCAAGATGGCAGTCTCCGCGAGGCAGCCCTGCTCGCAGGGCCTGACCGACGCGTCGTCTGACCCGGCCCCCACGCCGGCCTCCGCCGCGGCCATGCTTAGGCTAAACCCGCGCCCAGCGACTCGCCAAGCACTACGCGCCAAGCCGCCCCCACCAGCCCCGGCCAACTCCGTTTGGAAGGCTGCCCTGGCGGCGCCCCCCACGGACCAGGGGTTCTACTTGCGGCTGGGCCTCGACCCCGCCAAGACGATGGCGGTCTTCAACCCGGCCCTCCGGAAGATCGAACGCATCCTCGAGGGCCGGTCCCGGACCCGCACTCGCGAGGCCTACGTGGAGTCCCTCACCAAGATCGCCCGCCAGATGTCGACGACGAACGCCATGCCGCACTCCGAAAAGCCCAAGGTCGAGCGCGCGCTCCAGGCAATCCTCAACTGCACCTTCACGAACCACGCGCTCCCGAGGGTGGACCTCCGCAAGGTCATCGCGGCAGCGTTCGACAAGCATCGTGACGAGCCCCGCCGCAGCTAGAGCCGCCAGGCGGAGTCCAGCGCGCGCTCCACGCGCGGGTCGCGGAGCAGGCGCCGGCGCTGGAAGTCGCCGCGCCAGGGCCCCGGGTCGCCGCGGCCCCCCAGGGACGAGGCCCCGCGCTCGAGGCCCCCGGGCGGCCGCGGCCGCGACGACCCGGCGCCTCCCCGCTCGGCGCGCGCCCCCAGCGCGCTCGCGAGCAACGCGGCCGCGACGGGAGCGACGGCCCCGCCCGTCAACTCAGGGACCGCCCCCCCGCTGGCGCCAGGCACCGCCGCCAACGCCGGCGGCGAACCCTCGCAGACCCAGACCCGGGCTCGCAAGACCTTGCCCTGCCCTGCGCCGAAGCCAGCCCAAGCGCAGCCGCCCCGCCCCCCCGCAACAGCGGCCGCCCCAGAGCCGCACCCAGAGCACCTGGAGCGCTCGTGCCCGGCCACCCCGCCCGTCGACGCCGAGGCCCAGTTTCAGCAATCGCTCCGCGATGCGCTCGCCAACGCCTCCCCAGACACATCCTCACGACCGCTCTTGCTGCCATCGTCCCACCCCCGGCCGGGGCCCCACAGCCGCGCTTGACACTCGCCGCAGAGGCCACCCAGGCGGGCACCGCCGTCGAGCGAGCGCCGCCCTCGACGTCTGCTTCCGCCGCTGCGCCCCCAGCCGCCAGCGCCGCGCTGATGCCGACGCCGGCCGCCCAGCACCCCGGCGGGGCCGCGCTGCCCCCAGAGGAGGCAGCGCAGGCCTACTTCCAGACGGGAGCCCTCCCGCCATCGGGGCCCGCAGATGCCGGGGCAAGCTTCAGGCAGCTTCAGCCGCCCAAAGACCCCGCCGCCATCTTTGCAGACCAGGCCCGCCCAGAGTGGCAGTCCGCCGCCCCGCCTACAACATCGCACTTCGAGTTCGCCGCGGTCAGCGGCGACCCGAAAGAACAGCTGCGGGAACTCCACTTGAGGCTCGCCTTCGCAGGGATCTCCACGAAGGAGGCGCACGGCAACACGGAGTGGGCCAACTACGTCAACGCATATGGAGGCCACGGCACCGATTGGGCCCCAGCGATCCGGACCACGCTCGGAGCCACCATCAACTGGCACCGCAGCACAGATGGCCGCCTCCGAGTTGACGGTGGAGCCCCGGCGGTCGAGGCATTCCACAACCGCCTCCACAGAGCGTTCCAAGTGCGCGTCCTGGGGAACTCGGCCCACGGCCGCCGCGCGGGTAAGCAGGCGAACCAGGCGAGAGTCCAGCAAGGCCGCGTGACGGAACAGGAGGCGCTGCGCAGGGCCCGCCATGCCCGCCTGTCGGGCAAGGTCCTCGTGGTCAGCGACCGCGTCCTGCTCCGCGCGGACGACAAGGCAGTGGGCGGGCCGCCGGGCACATGGGACCTCTTCCACGAGCACTACGGGGCCCGGAACGCACCCGTGCACCACGTCATGCCGTGGGCGATCTTCCTCCGCACGGGCGTCACCGTCGCAGTCACGCGCGACGGCCGCGCGCGCTGCCTGGCGGGCAAAGCCACGGTCGAGGCCGTCGAGGCGGTGGAAGACACGCTGCGCACCCGCGCGGGGGCGGCCTGGACAGACGAGGCCCAGTTCGCCCGGGCGCCACCGGAGGTCCAGGTGCACTACGGAACCCCTGGCCGCGCGGCCTAGCAGCTCGGCCGCGCGCCCGTTTTTCGTTAGTCGGCCCCTTGAGGGCGGCGCTGCAGCACCTGAGCGCCGCCGACCCCGTGGGGGCAACGCCGCAGTCAAATGCATGGGTAGCAGCGGCCAGAGCACCCCTCCACGCTCGCTGGCTGGAGGAGGAGGAACGCCCCTACACCGAAGCGCTCCCAGGGCTCCCAGCGCCCATGCCAGAGCCGCCGCACATGCGCGGGAGGCCCTACGCCACTGGGCCGCAGGCGTGTCCGCCGATGTCCCGAAGCTCCTCGCAGAGCGCCGATTGGACGAAGACTGGGCCTCCACGCAGATGCCGGGGCTGGCGGCGGCGGCGCGGGTGCTTGCGGCGCGCCTCGCCGAATCGTCGCGCCAGGTTCAGCAGCTCGCGGCCGCCCGCCCAGGCCGGCGTCGCGGCCCGCATGCCCCCCGCCTGGCAGCAACAGCCTATGCCGGTGCAGCCCGGCAGGCAGCGGCGCCCCCCGCCGTCGTCGATCGCCCCCGCGACGGGAGCCGCGCCACCGCGACTGCCTGGGGTCGCAGGCGTCAGCGCGGGCCTCTCGGGAGGGGCCAACCCGAAGGGGACCTTGCTCGCGCTCGACCGCTGGCGTGACCTGGGGCTCCTCATGTCCAGCCACGGCGTCGACATCTTCGTGAGCACAGCTTGCCGGCTGCTCCCAGGGGCGGACCTCGCCCGAGACCTCCCAGAGTTCCCGTTTGAGCACATAGGCCCGCGGACCTCCGACTACGACGCCGTTTGCGGATTTCGTGCGATGGGCTCGACGACTACGGTCCAGTGGATGACAGACTGGTCGAGGACCTCGCGCGCGGCGTGGTTCCGCGTGGGGCCCTACGCCATCGTGGGCGGGTTCGTCATTCCGCCGTCGGGGCCGGCCGCCCCCGAAAACGAGCGCCTGGAGCTTCTCGCAGAGATCTTCGCCCAGTACGACCGCGTGCTCCAGAACGCCCCAGACGAGACGGCCGTCTGGGCCCACGGGGTCCTCAACCCCTCGGAGGCGCTGGAGACGGCTTGCCGCGACAATATCCGACAGCAGCACCACCTTCTCCGAGATCTCGTCCCACGCGAGGTTCCCACGCACTCTGGAGGCCGCAAGCTGGAGGTGGCATGGTCGGCTGGCCCAGGATACCGGGGCGCCGTGGTCCATAACGGAGTCCACTGCAAAGCAGCCGGGCCCACCCGCGCCCAATGCGGTTGCCACCGCGAGACGTTCGGCAGCGCAGACCTTGACCACTACCCAGTCACGTTCGCCAGCTGCCCCGGGCACCAGAGCACGGCCGCCCGGCCCATGGACGCGCCCCGGCAGCTGTGGGCCACTTTCTACCACCGAGACCCAGCCCCATTGGCACGAGACCCAGCTGCTCGTGCTCGACAACTTCTCCAGCCTCGCGTCTACGGAGACCCAGCGTTGGACGCGCCACCGCGCCAGCTGGCGCTCAAAAAGCGAGTCGGAGCTCGAGCTCGCGGCGTCGGCTACCTCATGGCTGTGGCGAGCCTCCACCTTCCTCGCAGCTGTCCACGGGCAGCTTCTTAGGGTGGCACCGCTTCCCGAGCCAGGCAGCCAAGCCACTGCGCCGCTGAGCCTCACGTGGGACTTCGCCTCCGGCATGCGGACGCGGGCGATGGGCCACATGCGGGCTTCCGCTCAGCGCCGGGCAGCCCGCCACGATGAACTCCCGGCGACAGACCCGGCAGCAGCAGACGCATACCTCAGTAGGCTGCTCCGCGAGCGCGGCGCGGGGCTCCCCGACGTGGTGCAGAGCCCGACGGAGCCCGCCACCATGATCCACGGCGACGAGGTCCTCATCGGGGCCGCAGAATACATCGCGAACCGCGGCCACGACCGAGTCCAGCGGCTGGGGCTGAACGCTGAGGAGCTCTGGGCGACGGCTGCCCAGTGCGATGCAGTCCTCCGAGACAACCGACGGTCATGGCGGGAGCTGCGGGACATCGACCACCGGGAATACACCGCGGAGCAGCTCCAAGACGTCACCGACAAGGTCAAGACCCGCCGCGCCAGCGCGGGACTCCCGTACGCAAGCGTCAAGCTGCTCGCCCCGGCGCACGCCACCTTCCTCCTGGCAGTGCAGAACATGGCCCGATTTCTGAGGGTCATCCCCCGCATGTGGAAGCTGCAACCCACGCTCCACAAGCGCAAGCCTCGAAAGTCGCCCGAGCTGTACCCCAGCTACAGAACGTTGAGCATCAACACGCTGGAGCTACGAATAGCCGAAGAGCTTCGGGCCCTCGGGGCGGAGGAGGCCGCGTGGCTCGGGGCGGGGGGGGACCAGCTTGGCAGGGGGGACGCGCTTGTCGCAGCAAACGTCGCCATAGACGCGCGCATTATCAGGCAGAGCCACAACCCCCCCTACGGAGAGTACTTCATGGACCTCGCGGGTGCCTTCGACACCGCCTACCCCCCTGCGGTTATTCTCGACCTCCACGACACGGCCAGCGTGGAGGGAGAGGACCTAGCGATGGCTGCAGCCATGATCCACGACTCCTCCGTCAGCGTCACCTCTGGCCACGTCGCCGCAGCGCCACAGCCCCTCACTACAGGCATGCCGGAGGGGAGGCGGCTCGCGCCGGCCTTCTGCGCGCGCTCAGCCAGGCGCTTCTCGGTCGCCACAGCGGCGGCCCACCTGGGCGTGGGTCTCGACCCGCCGGAGGAGGCCGCGCGCGCGTTCCACTGGAGCCGCCGCGGCACGGGCGACGCGACCGAACCCGACCGCGCGGCGGCCGAGGAGGCGGCGAGGGCAGCAACGGTGGGAGAAGAGCTGGGACCAGGTCATGACCGAGACCACCTCCGACCCCGACAGGCTCTGGATCCTCGACGCCGCGGCCCCCGCGAAGATCGGCCTCGCGCAGTTTATAGATGACAATGCCCTGCGATCCTCTTCATGGGGCGCCCAGGCCGCGGGCGCGCGGGCGCTGCAGGCTGCGGCGGGCAGCTTGCGAGCAGAAATCCGCTACGGGCCGGGCAAGACAGAGCGCTTGGCGGAGGGCTTCCACACCCGCCTCCCGCACGCCGGCGCGCAGCACGTCGACGAGCACACGCACGTCGGCGTCCCGATCGACGAAGGAGCGCGCATGACGGCTCTCATGCAGCACGTCGAGCACGCCGCAACGCGAGGCTGGATGATCATCCTCGCAGCCCTGGAGCTCCTCGGGCTGCCCATGACGGTGGCCCTCCGCGCGCTGGACGCCAGAGTCCGACCGCAGGCTTGCTGGACGGCGCACCTCCTCATCGCCCGCCACGACTGGGAGGCGCGGTTAAATGCCGCCCAGGACCGGTGGGCCATTCGCCTCTTGGACATCGACACGCCCATGCCGAGGATGCTCCTCCTCCGGGAGCTCGGCTTCCCGCGGCGCCTCTCCACGCAGACCCTCCGGGCGGCGGCGGCGCTCGCGGCCAGGATCGAGTCCACCGCGCCGGGGTCCCAGCCCAGCCGGGTGGCGCTGGTCGCGGCGCCGACGGCCCCCACATGAATGTGGACGCTGCGCGCCTACCTGGAGGAATGCGCCATCCCCCAGTACTCGGCGCGGCCCCTGCACAGGTACCAGGAGCTCGCGCGCGCGCCGGCGCGGGCGGGCAGGAAGCGGCGCATCCGCACGTACCTCACAGAGGCCGTCGACCCCCGGCTGGCAAAGGTCGAGCTAGGATGGCGCACGCGCGAGGCGGCGATCTACCCGCCGCGGGGCGACGGTACGGCGATCCAGGCGGCGACCACGACATCGGCTCTGTGGTCAGCCATCCGGGCGTGGGCGCAGCTGCGCCTCCAGGGCCGCCTCACCGTGCACACGACCGCCTCCCGAGCTCCGTGCCCGCGGCGCGGGCGCGACGGGCTCCACCCTTTAGTAGAGGGGTGCCGCCACGCCGAGGCGGGGCCTTCGAGCTCGCGCACGGCACGGCGTGGGCGGAGCTCCCGCCGGCGGCCATCGTCACCGGCCTTCGCGCGGGCCTCGACATCGAGGCGGGGGTGGCGGTCGCCGCGAACCTGGCGCGGGAGGCCCACGCTGCGGTCGCCGCCGGCTCCGGCACGGCGTGAGCCCTGGGCCGCTGGCGCCGCCTCACCGCAGCGCCGCCGCCGCCTGCGCCCCGCTGCCGGCGCCGGGCGCCGCTGCCGGGCCGCCCCGTCGCCGCCGCCGCCGGCCTGCGCCACCGGCAGGCGCGCCGCTGGCTGACCCGCGCGCTGGGCCGCCCCGCCGCCGCCCGCCTGGGGTCCCGGGGAAAAGATTCCGTGAGCGCCCAGTCCGGCGTCGGGGCAAAGTCGCACCCAAGTGGGCGACCCCTCGGCCCGGGCTGAGTCGCTGGCAGAGCCACGGAGCTTTTTTATCATATCGTTTTTTCCATGCGTTCACCTGCCTGCCGGCGTGCGCACAGCGGCTCGACACGCTGGCCCCGCGTCAAAGAAAAAGGAGGAGGAGGAGGAAACGGAGGAGAACGAGGAGGAGGAGGAGGAGAAGAAAGGGAGGATGAGAAGGAAGAGGAGGAGGAGGAGGAGGAGGAGGAGGAGGAGGAGGAGGAGGAGGAGGAGGACCTCCCATCTTTTCTTATCCCCCGTCGTACCTGTGGTAGTGGTTTCGGGCAATTGGCACATCCAAGTGCTTCTGGTCGGGTGGGTGGGTGGGCGCTCCTCTGTCCGCTGCGGCTTTCCGTGCTCTCGATCGCCGCCCCGCCGCCGCCGACGAGGACCCCGCGTTGCTCGTGCTTGTCGCGCCCCTCGCCTTGCGGTCGGCCCTTATCGAGGTATTAGATCGAGGTCGGGTCGGGGAGGGTGCCCCAATGCTCTTCGTGCTGGTTGGATGCTCTCGTGCATCCTGGGGAGGGTACCCTTGGATGTTCTGTGTGTTTTGGACGCCGCAGGGTCGACGGTTCTTGGAGGAGGTTTTTTTGTCCTGGGTCCTGCCGTCCTTTCTCACGTCCTCGCGTCTGCGCGCGCCTCGGCGGTGCTGCGTTCCGGGGTTGCGCCTCCGTCCCCTCGTCGTCCTCGTGGGGTCCTTCGTCTCCCCCTCCTCTTGCCACCTGTGGGCTCCCGGCGCCTCTCCCGCCCTGGTGGTCGGCACGCCGTTTTCTCGCGCACCACGATACCAGACATGCAGCGCGCGTATGGGCGCCCTTCGTCTTCTTCCCCCCTCGGGCATGTGGTGAGGATGCAGTTCGCGTGTTTTCTGATCGACCAGTCCTTCGTGCTCGCCTGAGCCGCGCCGACGCGCCCCAGGGCATATGGCTCGCCTTTCCTTTCCCCCCCTCCTTCGCGCCCCCTCTCGCTGCACATCTGGCCACACACCACGGCGTCTGGAGGCCACGGCCTCGTTTTCACTTGGTTTCGAGCAGGGGACACCTGTCCGCTGCTGGCGGGCGTTCGGTCGTTCGTGCCCCTCCTTCGGCGTCGGTCGGTCGTCCTCCACCTGCCCGTGTGCGGGGGCGCCCTCCTGCCTTGCTGCTTTGCTGCAGTTGTCGTCTTGGTTCGTGTCAGGCCCGTTGCCAGGTCCGCCTGCTGCCTGCAGCGATCGCCTCGTCTCGCCCCAAGCCCAGGAGAGCACAGCCTCGGTTTCAGCGCGATCGTCAGACGTGCGATTGCAATTTTATGGTGCCGCGGCCCGTTTTTCTTCGACCAGCTGTTGCTCCAACGATGCGGAGGGGGAAAGAGTGCGTGTAGGCGTGTTTGAATTGTTCGCGCGTTAGATCTGATGTATGTGTGTGCTTTTGTGTGAGTGCATGTGTGTGGAATGTGTGTGTGCGTGAGAGCGTGTAGTTGTGTTGGTGGTGCGCCTACGCGCGTTCCATGTTTCTAGTTCTTGACTCCGCGCCGCTTCACAGGGAAACGAATTCGTGGCATTCGCGCCCCAGTACCATGCATCCGTGTTTTGGATGCAGCCGCGTGTCGGAGGAAATGTGGGTGTGTGCTCGTGTCTGTCTTTCCGTCAGTGCCCTTGTCGGTTTCAATTTCAGTATTTGAGGCCATGTCTTTGTCGGTGCCCGTGTCCGTTTCCATGTGCGTGCGTGCGTGCGTGCGTGCATGTGTGTACGTGTGTGTATTCGTGTGGCGGGCCAGTTGAAGGGAGAGGCCGGGAAGAGGGAGAGAGGGAGGGAGGGAGGAAGGGAAAGACAGAGGGTCCAGAGGATGTCGCAGGAAGGAACCAGAGAACGATGTAGAGGCAGAGCGCCCAGGCAGCCCTTCCCTCAGAGCACTTGTGGCAGCCGCAGCATTGCATGAAGCAGCATGACGGGCAGCAGACGAAACAGCGCGCTAGCCATAACGTTACCGATACCGAAACCGCGAGTACCGCAGCATCACTGAAGAGCAGCAGTGCCCTCTTGGACATCGATGTGTGGAACCTGCAGCGCGGCAGGTGCCAAGCACGACCCGTGGTGCCCGTTGCGGCCAGCAGCTCCACCATGACCTTGGCCTTCTGCTCGGCGGCAAGCGATGGGGGGGAAATGATAAGGAGAAGGCCTTCTCAGAAGGCGGCGAGACTCCTCGGAAGCCTCCGCGCGTTCTGAGAAGTCTTCCGCGTCTTCGGGGAAGCCTCGGGGAAGCCTCGGAGAGCTGGCCAGGAGGCCGGGGGACTTCCGAGCCCTCTGAGAAGGCCCGCGCCCCGCTCTCACCTCCCCCCCCCGGCTCGCCGCCGATGTCCTGGCCTCCGCGCGGCGGGACAGCATGGGCGCCCGCCGCCGCCTCGCCGCGGCCTCGCGCGGTGGCTGCCGCGCTCCCTGGCCCTGCCCGCGCGGCGGGCGCCCGCCGCCGCCTCGAGCGCCAGCCGGCACGCACCTCGGCGGACCTCCGAGGCCCGCTCCGCCACCGTGCCGCGGCCGTCGGCCCGAGGCCTCCCGGCTGCCTCGTGGGGATATCCCCCCCGCGGCCTGCCGCGGAGCCGCGAGGGCGGCGCGCGCGCTGGCGGGGAGCCGCGCGGGGCCCGCCGCGGAGGGCGGCGGAAGGGAAGCGTGGGCTCCGCTGGCGGAGAAGCTGGCGGAAGGCCGGCGGGAGCCAGCGGAAGCAAAAGTCGACACTGTCCTCCTCCTCCTCCTCCTCCTCCTCCTCCTCCTCCTCCTCCTCCTCCTCCTCCTCCTCCTCCCCCCCTCCTCCCCAGGGAAAAAAAACTCCTCCCCCTCCCCCTCCCCCTCCTCCCCCTCCTCCTCCTCCTCCTCCTCCTCCGAGATGACAGCATTTTTGGGTTCAGGGTTTCCGGAATGCGCCACATGTTGACATCCACGGAATCCAGCCCCAGGCACCGACCAGCGTGGCCACGAGCGGCACAGTGGGAGCCAGCGCGCCCAGTCCCAGCAGCAGCTCGGCTCCCTCATCGATTCGCCTTGGCCGCCCGCTTCGCCTGCTGTGGAGGGGGAGCGAGGTCCCGATCCGAGTCCGCGTGGGACATCACTCTGCGGGACCCCCCAAGGGCGCAGCAAAGTGTCGGCCACTCGCAGAGGGGGGTGGGGGGAGGGGGAGGGCGTCTTAGAAGCACCCCTGCTTCTTAGAAGCCGCGCACTGCCAAGAGTGGCGACAGATGCACGCTGGGCTGCGTAAGGACACCTCTCAACGGGGGCCCTGAGCCACGGCAAGGTGGCGACGATTGCACGCCTGGCGGGGGAAACGGCATGAGTCTGTTTGCAGCGGCCGTGTCGTGCTGACCCCCTCCCTTTCCCATCCCTTCCCTTTGCTTCTCCTCTCGTGCGCCCCTCCATGGGGTCATCCCACGTTCCCCTGCTCCTCCCCCCCCCCGAACTCGTCCTCTCCTCTGCCCTTTTCTTCCTCTCTTTTCTCTTTCCCTACCCCTCCACCCCTGCATTCCCCCCTTCCCCTCCCTCCCCCCCGTCCCCCCAATCCCCTCACCCCTTCTCCCCCCCCTCATCTTCCCTTCTCGGCTCCTTCTCCTCCCCTGCCATGCCCTCCCTCCTCCCTCCTCTCCCCGCCCCTCTCCTCCTGTACCCCCTCCCTTCTCCCCCCGCCCGCCGCGAGGTGGTTCGGGTCGCCGCCGAAGGAGCAGCAGCAGCCGCAGAAGCAGAAGATGCGGGGGAAGAGAAGCAGCAGCTCCAGCAGCTCTGTCGATTCCTCCGAGGTCCGAGGCTGGCCCACTTTTTTTGTGGAAGAAAGGCGCGACACCTCGCGGGGGGGTGGGCCTCCTCCTCCTCCTCCTCCTCCTCCTCCTCCTCCTCCTCCTCCTTCTCTTTCCCTTCCCCTGACCATATTCCTGTTCCTCCCTGCTCCTCCCCTCGTCCTCCTCCTCCTCCTCCTCCTCCTCCTCCTCCTCCTCCTCCTGTTCCAGATCCCCCTGCTCCAGGCCCTCTGGCAAGGCTCGGCGCTGCGCACGGGCAGCCCCCGAGGGTAGTCCAGGCTGGCCTCAGCAGCCTCCCCCCAGGATCATACTGGGCGGTATCGGCGCCTCTGGTCACTGGCGGCTGTCTGCGTGCACCCCCGAAGACTCCCCCCACTCCTCCTCTTCCTCGTCCCCTCGGCTCATCTTCATAATACGCGCCTTCCTGCGCAGCACGACCCCGGCATCTACCAATGAGAGGAATGGGATGCTTCCATCATGAGGTTGCCCGGCACGACGGATGCTGTCGCTCCCAGGAGGCCCCAGGATTCATTGTTCTGCGTTGGGATGTGCGGGGAGCGCTCTTCGGCCCCCCGCGCCCAGGACGCCCCGGGAGGCACTCTTCTGGTTTGGGATACGTGGTCGGGGAGTGTTTTTTGAACTTCGCCCCCATGGGCTTCGCACCCATAGGCTTCGCCGCCGCTCTCCTGGGGCTCGAGTCCTGTTGTGCTTTACGTATGTTCTTGTAGATGGCCCCTCTCCTGGGGCTCGAGTCTTTTATTGCTTTACGTAAGTTCGTGTGTATATATATACACATACATAAATATATTTAAATAGAAATATATTAAAGCTCGGCATGCAGGATAACCAAATATAGCGATGATTCATTGTTGCCGTTTGCGCCATCGTCGTTATAGTAATGTTATGTACTATCCTTATACTTCCTCTCCTCTTACTCGTAATCTTCCTTGTCTGCGAGCCACTCCTTGTCCTCATCCCCAGTTTTTATTGCAGGGGCTCCTCTTTGGAGGTGTTCTTGGGCCCTTCTCAAAAGCTTTTTGGGGACCTCTGGGGGCCTCCTGGGCGCCTTTTGGGGGCCTCTGGGGGCTTCTTGCGGCCACCTTGCTACCAACCACGGTCTCCCTGAACGACCGGGTCACGATTTGGAGTGCTTCGGGAGGCGTCTTGGGGCCATCTGGGGCTGTCAGCGGGGCTCTCTTGGGGCCATCTTGCGGCCCTGTTGGACCATATTGGGGATCTTTTAGATTGTCTGGAAGCCCTTTGACACCGTTGTGGGAGGATTTTGGGGGCCTCTTCGGCGGACTTGGACGCGCGGAATACCGAAGAACCGAATGTCCAAAAATTCAATAAAAAAACGAAAGGAAAGTGTTGTTTTTTTGCACTTGGAGGACCTCTTGGGGGTCTTCTTTGGGTCGTCTTCGGGCGTCTTGGGGCTGTCTGGGGCCGCGTGGGGCTCTCGCGGGGCCGTTTGGCCGCCCTCCTGACCGCTTTGGGCCCGCTGGCAAGGCCCGGCAGGGGCGTCCAGGAGGCCCGGAAGGCCCGGGGGACCCCTTGCAAGGCCCCCCCCAAAAGCGCCAGATCCCAGGGGTCCGATTTTCCGGGGGGGAGGGGGGGGGGGGTCCCACCCCCCCGGATTGTAAAAATATAGAAAAAGGGAGTATATGGTCGAGGGTTCGGCCCCCCCCCCAATGCTAATGCCATCGGGCCCCCCCCCCCCGCGCGATGGTCCCCCCCCCTCCCCCTGTGGATGTGGTGTGGGTGTGGTGTGTTGCTGTGGGTGTGTGCGGGGTGACCCAATGTCCCCCCCCCTCCCCCCGTGTGGGTGTGGTGTGGGTGTGCGTGTGGCTGTGATTGTGGCGTCATGCTGACGTGCTTTCGGAAAGCTCCGGTGCTCGACGTCGTCGCCGCCGCCGCCAGTGCCGTCGACGTCGTCGTTGTCGTCGTCGTCGTCGTCGGCGTTGTCGTCGTCGTCGTCGTCGTCGTCGTCGTCGTCGTCGTCGTCGTCGTCGTCGTCCGTCGACGTCCGCCGTCGTCGTCCGCCGTCGTCTGTCGTCCGTCGTCCTCGTTCGTCGTCGTCGTCGTCGTCGTCGTCGCCGCCGTCGTCGTCGTCGTCGTCGCCGTCGTCGTCGTCGTCGTCCTCCTCCTCCTCCGCCTCCTCCTCCTCCTCCTCCTCCTCCTCCTCCTCCATCCCCCCATCCCATCTGGGGGGGGTCGGGGGGGGCCCCAGGACCCTGGGACCCATCCCATCTGGGGGGGAGGGGGCCGTGGGCCCGGAGCCCGCGATAATTTATTGCCCCTCGACTTGGGCTCGACTCCTTTTGTGTTTTTAGATGTGTCCCTATATATATATATATATATATGTATATATATATATATATATATATATAATATATATATATATATATATATATATATATATATTCATCAGTTGCACGATTGTAGATTCGGAGTACAGTTTCTGACCCGTGGTGACGCCTCGTGTCTCCACCGCCTGAGGGGAGGTTGTGAATGTCTGGATGCGTTCCCTCTCCTCCCCTGGCCTCCTCCATAATCGTTTTGGCTCAAGTGATTTGGGGTCCCCTGTCGGCGACAGCTGGATGGGAGGGGACCCCGCCGCCGCCCTCCATCTCTTCTGGGCTGTGGCCCGCGATCTCTCGGGGCTCGGTCAGCGGTGCCCCGACGTCTCGCTGAGCTGCCCGGAGCAGCACTGCCCTGCCTGTCCGGGGGTCACGTGCCCAGACAACAACGCCTGCTACCAGCTAGTGGGCGAGTTCGCTGCGGCTGCGCGCAGCGGACGGGGATCGCCGGCGTGCCCGGCCGCGCAGGTCTGCGAGGCCTGCGAGAGCTGCTTGGACGCCTGCCCCGGATTCCCGTGGCTGCTGATCGTGCTGCTCTGCTGCCTGGCGGCGGGCTGCGGCGTGGGAGGCTGCCTGCTCGGGAGGCTGAGTGTGCGCCGAGGCAGGTCGGCCCCGACAGCGCCCGAGGCGGAGCCCCTTGTGGACAGGCCCTTTGCGACGACGCCCTCGACCCTGCGGTTGAGGAATGGCGCATAGGGCTCTCGATATCGCTGAGAAGCAGGTGCTCATCGATTTCTTCGGGGACGAGAACGGGCTGGACTGGCACGCTCGGATTCTATTGATCCCAGGGGGTCAGGGAAGATGGATCGTGTGCTCGCCGACGTTGGCCGTGCAGGTCGCCGATCTCTCGTCGCATCGGATCCGGATTCTTCGGCGGGGAGAGCCGATCGACCCGGCATACCTCCGCGAGGCGTTCGTCTTCGACGAGGAGCTGGACGAGGGGGAGCTGGCGCGGATCCGAGCCGAGGCGTACGAGCTGGCCGAGGTGGCGGGCTTCGACCTGACGGGCTTCAGGGCGGCCGCTGGCCCAGCGGCTGCAGCGGAGAACGCTACGTGGCGAGTCGCGGACCCAGCCCACCGAGCCTTTGGGGAGGTCGTTCCACTGGATGCGCTTCGAGATCAGGAGGGCTGCACGCTGGGCGACAAGGTGGGCTGGGTGACGATCGACGACACGGGCGTCTTGATCGAACAGGTCGTGGACGACAGGTTGGAGGCCTGGCTCTCGGCCAAGCGGTGCGGGCCAGGTCGCGATCCCCGGCTGCTGGGGGACGTTCGGGACCACCGAGGGCTGCGATACCTGCACCCAGACGAGGCGACGAAGAAGCAGAGCAAGACGAAGATGCCCTACGAGCCCTTCGAGGGGCCCGAGGCCGCCGAGGAGTTCATGGTGAACATGCTGCGGGTGGGCTTCAATTTCGTGACCCACAACTTGGACTGGGAGGCCAAGAGCGGGGTGTCGCCGAAGTCAGGGTTGGCCCGCGAGCACCGGCATCTCAGCAGCGCGCTCTTCGTGGCGCAGTCGGTGGACCAGTACGACCTCACGAACAGCCTCTCGAACGAGATGCACATCAGAAGGTTGATTCAGATCGAGGCGGCGGTTCGGAGGAACCCGAAGTCACCCGACTTCGAGGGGCTAGAGGTGATGATGTCCCACCCGATCGGCACGGGCGGGGAGGTGACCACGAGGAACTTCACCAAGTGGGTCGCCGAGCGGCAGAAGGACGAGGGCTTCCTCCTCAAGCAGCAGAGGCTGTGGCGGGAGGAGAGAGCGGCAGACGACAAGCGCCAGGCTGGCAAGAAGGATCAGCCGGGCGCGGGGGCCAAGTAGCCCTTGCATCGAGGGGCGCCGTCGTGCCCAGCGCTGGGTCCCCAGGCGCTGAGCTCTACGCGGCGGTGCCGCTATGCCTGGGGAAGAGAAGGGAGCCCGACGCCATGGAGAGCCCTTCCCAGTTTTGGTACCAGAACAAGTTCGACATGAACTACGCGGTGTGCCCCGCTATCTTCGGCAAAGACTTCGGAGGCGGGCCAGCCGTGAGCGGCGGATCCACTCGGTGCTCGGGGCGCTCAACGCCCTGGAGGCCGGGCCGTCGCGTCCCTTTCGCTCAGCTGGGCGGGGGCGAAGAGCAACAGGAGAGCGCCCCCTCGGGCCGAGCAGCTTATCGGTCTTCGAGCGGGTGGCGCGACGAGTTGGGGCCGCCGGGGGACGCCCGGCCGACCTCAGCGAGCAGGGAGCCCTCAAGGAGCTCCTGCGCACCAAGGACCTGTGCGGCCTCGAGCCCAGCAGCCTGGGATCGTACGCGTACGAGCGGGTCAAGATTCTCGAGTGTGGCATCACGGTCCGCGACGTCCTGGACCTGGTGCCGCCTGACCAGCGTGACATGCTGGCCCACCCGGAGAAGCACATCCTCCGTGACGCCTCCGACCTCGAGCGCGCGAACGAGCAGGAGATGCCGTTCTCGCCCTTCTGGGACCCGAAGCTGCGCTTCTCCAGGAAGGAGCGCTACCGGCTGCTCGCAAGGCTCAAGGAGCTGGGGCTGCTGGGGTTCCGACGGAGCATCAGAGCGAGGATGGGGATCTTCTTCGTCTCGAAGAAAGATGGGACCCTGCGCCTCATCGTCGACGCGAGGGAGGCCAACCGTATGTGTCGCCGCCCGCCACACACGTGGCTCGGGACCGTGGCGGCGCTCGGGTCCCTGGACCTTTCAGACAGTTCGATCGGCTCGGACGGGCCGGGCGACGTCTGCGCGGCCTCGGTCGACCTGTACAATGGCTTCTACCAGTTTCGGAACCGCAAGCTGGGCTCGCTGTTTGGGATCGACTTCGCCGAGCGCGCTGACGTCTGGGGGGTCAACGAGATCTTCGACGAGGAGCGGGAGTGTTTCGTGCCGGTGGGGCCGGACGAGATGCTCTTCCCGGTCTTCGAGGGGCTGCCCATGGGGTGGTCCTGGGCGCTCCACTTCTGCCACGCCATCACCTCCGAGGCGGGCAGGACGGAGACAAGCCTGCTGCAGGATCGGCACGCACCTGAGGCACCGCGGCCCGAGCTGGCCTACCGGTTGCCGTACGTCGACAACGCCAACGTCGTTGGGCTCAGCCGAGCCGCCACACAGCGCGCCCTGGACGCCGTCAAGGGCGACTTCGACAAGAGCGGGCTGCACTACCATGAGGAGAACTCTCCCGCCGAGACGCTCGAGCTGCTGGGGGTGGAGTTTGATGGTCGGCGTCGTCTGCTGCGTCCCAAGTCTCGACGCGTTTGGCGACTTCACTTGGCATTGCGCGCCGTGCTGCGCCGAGGTCGCTGCAGCGGGCTCGTGCTGCAGGTCCTGGTCGGCCACATCGTGCACCACTGCCAGCTGCTGCGCTTCGGGCTCTCGGTGCTCGACAAGGTCTGGGCTTTCATGTCCGAGAGCGGTGGCAAGGAGGTTCGCCTGTGGGCGTCCGTCAGGTGGGAGCTGGAAGTGCCCTCCTGGCTCGTGTTCCTGGCCGAGGCCCGGCTCAGCGCAGAGCCTGCCAGCATCGCCTTTTGTGGCGACTCCTCTGCCGTGGGCTACGCGCTGCACGTCACGTCCGTCTCGGGGCCCGAGTTTCGGGCCGTGGCACGCTACCGAGAACGGTGGCGCTTCGACGCAGTCGAGCGGAGCGACGACGGCTGGGGGGCCGTGGGCAGCTGGACAGCTGAGTGGCGGGCCTCGCCAGATCCAGCGGGGTCGCTCAGCGGCGGCCCCCGAGACCTCGGCGGCGGACCTGCGATTCGCTGCCGCCCGTGGCGCGACATCGAGACGGTGGAGCGGCCGGCCGAGGAGGTGGGGATCCCGCCGCTGCCCGACGCGCTGCTCGCGAGCCAGCGCTGGGCGATGGTCATCAAGGGCGCGTGGCAGCACGACGGGGTCATCCATGAGAAGGAGGGCCGGGTGCTGCTCATGGGCCTGGTGCGGGCCTCGAGGTGTGTCGGCCTCCACGGGAAGAGAGTTCTCTCGATTGGGGACAACCTTTCGAGCCTCTGCAGCTTCGAGAAGGGGCGCTCAGGCAGCTTCGCCCTCCGGCGCCTGTGCCAGCGCGCCGGGGCCCTCTCCATCGGGTGCGAGCTCGACTGGTCCCTTCGCTACGTGGAGAGCAAGAGGAACCCGACCGACTTCGACTCGAGGGCGGCCGACCGAGGCGAGCTGGCCGCCGGGTGCTCCGTCGCTGGCCGGCACGGCCGAGCGGTGCTGCAGCGATGCTCGCGAGCCCCCGACTCGCCGCCAGCCCGACCCAGCGCTCGGGTCCGCCGACCTCCGCCTTCGCGGTCGGGGCTGGGGCGCATGGGGCCGCGGCAGACGTCCGCAGCCCTCCCGACCCCTACGAGGGTTCGGACTCCGCCTGAGCGGCGGTCACCTCTTGGGCGCATGGGGCCTCGCGAGCATTTTGCCGCCCCATGCTGCCGAGGCGCAGCGCGGCCCCGTCGACGCACCCGCCAGCGGGGCCCGCGTGCACGGACTGATCAGCACAGAAAAAGCAACAACCCTGTCGTCAGGACATCAGCTCAGCATCAGTTCGTCGTGGAGATCTTCGCCGGCTGCGCCGCCTTCTCCGCCGCCTGTCAGGAGGCCGACCTCAACATCGGGTGCCCCATCGAGATCTCGAGGGGCCCCCACATGGACGTCACGAGGCAGAGGACCCAGAGGCACATCAAGGGCTTGGTCAAGCAGGGGCTCGTGTGGTACCTCCACTTGGGGACTCCGTGCACTACCTGGTCAAGGGCCCGCGCGACGGGCTCAAGTTCGGCCACTCTTGGGGGCCTACAGTTGGCCAAGTTCTCGTTGGGGCTCATCAAACTCTGCAATCGGTATGGCGTCTACTACTCGCTCGAGAACCCGCGTTCCTCAAGGCTCTTCTCCTGGAGGCCCCTTAGGAAGGAGCTGCAGAGGCAGAACGCAATCTTTGTCCGATACGATAACTGTGCGTACGGTGCAGGGTACCTCAAGCCGACCCTCCTGGCCACCAACATGCATGCCCTACAGGGGTTACATCGTCTATGCCCAGGAAGCCATCATCATGAGATTCTTGAGGGAAAAGTACTTTTGCCTCCAGGGCCCGGCGAGGCTCGAGGGCGGTGGGCCTGGAAGACGACTCTGGCCGGGCGCTACCCTCCTCGTCTTTGCCGTTCCTGGGCGGCCATCTTGGCACGGGCGGCTCCAGACACGGCCCGCGGGGCCGATGCCACTTCGCTGGAGCAATGGGAAGCTGACTTGGCGCGAGCCGGAGGCTGCCCGCTCCCAACCGAGATCTTCAGGCCTCACTGCCCCAGGTGCTACCATAGCCCGTGGAAGGACGCCATCAAGCACTGGGGCCAGCGCGTGGTCTGGGTCGGTCCTCGACGTGGAGCTACCAGATCGAGATCGGCGACGTGCTGCTAAGGCGGCCTCTCGCCGGGCCGCCGCGGGACACGACCCCGGCGACCGGTTCCTGGAGCGCAAGACCGTCGGGAAGGGGACTCTGGTCAACTACGAGACGTGCTCGTCGGACTTCGTCCACTGGGCCAGCCAACAGGCCCCGCCCCGGGCACTGGCCCCGCTCGAGCAGCTGGACGCCAGCCTCTCCGCGTACTTTGACTTTCTCTTCTTCGACGGTTGTGAGCCGTGGGCTGGCCGGCACACCTTGTTCGGCTACGCCCACCTGCATGGCATCGTCGCGCCCTCGCGCAACTTGCCACACGCTGTGAAAGCTCTGGCGGGCTGGGTGAAAGCCTGCCCAGAGCTCAGCCGTGACCCGTGCCCCTGGGAAGTGTTCGCCGCGATCGCCGACCACTGGCTGGAGCTGGGCACGACCGAGTCCATCCTTGCCGCCGCCTGCGGCGCCTTGCAATTCGACACCTACCTTCGCCCGGCGGCCGCGGTCAGCCTGTCCCTCGAGCACGTGGTGTTGCCCTCAGGTAGGGCTGGCGACCGCTATGACAAGGTGGCGCTGATAGTTGCCCCTTCGAGTGGCCCAACGCCTCGGCCCAACAAGAATCAGCAGTTTGACGACACCGTGATGGTTGGGTCTATCGACCCATCTCGTGGTTGGCTTCGGTAACTTGTTCGACAGCTCGTTGCCAGAGCCCGTGCACGACGTACCCAGCGCCTGTTCAACGAACTCCAGCTGTCCTCCTACGAGCGCCTGTTCCGCGAGGCCAGCCACCGACTAGGGCTGGCAGCGCTGAAGGTGTCGCCGCACACGCTGCGACACGGTGGCCCGTCTCTCGACTACTTGAACGGCCTTGCCACCCTCCCTGTGCTGAAGAAGCGCGGAGGCTGGCTCAGCGACCGCCCCGTGGCAAGGTATGGCAAAGAGGGACGTCTCTTGAGGCAGATCAGCCGCCTTTCGCCTGCACAGCAACAGCAGTTCAGGCGTGCCGCCAGCCGCCTCAGACAGAGGCTGCTCTGCGCCACGGGAGTTCGTTTCCAGACTAGCGCCTGATCACAGTTTTGAGGAGGCTTTTACAATCTTTTTCTGTGAGTTTTGCCCCCCCACCCACCCGTGAATCATAATATGGGTTATGGGTGACGGCTGCTGAATCTTCTCAAATCGTCTGCGCACCCTCTCTTCAGAGCTCCCGGGAGCCCTTGAATCGTTTAGCCTCTCTGAGGCTGCAGGCGTGTTTGCATTCAGCCAGCCCTTCTTCTAGCGAGATTGCCTCGTGGAGGCGACCAGTTGCCAGATCTGGAGTGATTCGTGAAAGAGATCGGCGAGAGCTCCGGGGCTTCCCTCTTCTCTCGCCTCTCCCTCGCGCCTTCTGGTCAGGCCCTCGGGTGGAGCATCTATTCATCAGTTGCACGATTGTAGATTCGGAGTACAGTTTCTGACCCGTGGTGACGCCTCGTGTCTCCACCGCCTGAGGGGAGGTTGTGAATGTCTGGATGCGTTCCCTCTCCTCCCCTGGCCTCCTCCATAATCGTTTTGGCTCACAGTGACCCGCCCACCCTGCCCTGTGTCAAATGGCAGGCCTTTTTCCTTGGTGACGGCTGCTGAATCTTCTCAAATCGTCTGCGCACCCTCTCTTCAGAGCTCCCGGGAGCCTTTGAATCGTTTAGCCTCTCTGAGGCTGCAGGCGTGTTTGCATTCAGCCAGCCCTTCTTCTAGCGAGATTGCCTCGTGGAGGCGACCAGTTGCCAGATCTGGAGTGATTCGTGAAAGAGATCGGCGAGAGCTCCGGGGCTTCCCTCTTCTCTCGCCTCTCCCTCGCGCCTTCTGGTCAGGCCCTCGGGTGGAGCATCTACATATATATATATATATATATATTGCCCCTCTACTGGTATAGATTGCCCCTCGCCGGGGGCTCGAATCCTTCCTGTTTCGATCGCATTGTTTGTTTATGTGTCGTGCGAGCTGAAAGTGGGAAAGTGTCTCGGGAGAGGTGTCGGCTCGACTTTCTTGGGCGGGAGATCTGGGCGTGGGAGTATAGGGCCCCATTTTTCCTATAGCTCCCCCGAGAAAGGGGGCATCATGGTAGATGCATGTGGCATACAGAAGCATGGCGCATGAGGGTAAAGCGATTCTTGTTGGTGCATTGTCTCTCTCTCTCTCTCTCTCGCTCTCTCTCTCTCTCTCTCTTTCCCCCCCTTTCGCTGACACCGTCAGGTTGATACAAAGGTGGGCGGATGTTCAATCGTTGTGATTGGCCTGTCCGATGCGGCTTGTCGTTCGCGCGTCCTTCTCCTTTCTTCTTCCCGTTCGTTATCCCTCTTAGGCTGCGGCCGTATGATCTTATATGCTATAAGTGCCTGGTCGGGCCGCAGAGGATCGTCGCACAGCGCCCTTGCCCCTTCTCCGCCTCCTCATCCTCCTCCCCCGTCGACGCTGTCGCATCCAGCAAACTTTGATTGTCCATCGTATTTTGGTGGAGCGTTTGCGGCGGAAACTACTGTTTCTCCTCTCTCCTCCTTGTTGTTTCTCCCTCCTGCTGCCTTTTTTGAATGTGGAAGAGCAGCAGCCTGCACGCCCGACCCCGAGAGCTGTGCATGCAGGCGCGCATTTCTGTGCCCTTGAGGTCTTTAGGGGGGGGGTTCTGCAGAAGTGTCTGGTGATCTCCATGGCCCTTCCGATGCCAGAGAAAAGCCAAGCACGCCCAAACTTCACGATTGTCGTCGCCGTCGCCGCCGTCGCCACACACGTCGTCCAGGACGTTGTCGTGGTCGTGGTCGTCATCGTTCGTCGTCGTCGTCGTCGCTTGCTTGCTTGCTTGCTTGCTTGCTTGCTTGCTTGCTTGCCTGCCTGCCTGCTTGCTTGCTTGCTTGCTTGCCGCCGCCGCCATCGTCGTCGTCGTTTTCGTCGTCGTTCTCGTCGTCGTCGTCGGCGGTCGGCGTCATGGTCGGCGGCGCGGTCAGCGTCGTCGTCGTCGTCGCGCCCCGAGCCGGCGCTTTGCGGGCGGCGAGGTCTCCGACCCAATGTGGCGAACAGGAGGGCCAGGCGGCGGCGCCTCGGGCGAGAAGCAGAGGAGCGTCCCTCAGCTGACCGCGAGTGGAGGAGGGGAGGATCGAGCATTGACGATCGCAGGCGACGTCTGGCTTGCGCGAAGTGCCCTGGCTTTCCCCACCAGGTTGAGCCGTCTCACCGACTTCGGCGCGCCTGCGCGGGCTCTGGTGGTGCGAGGTGTGTGGTGGTTCGGGGCATCGGCGCTTCTACACTTTTGGGAAAGCCTGCACGCAAACAACAGGTGCGGGCAAGCAAGCAATCAATCGGCTTGCTCGAGGTCTACCCCCCCTCAAAGCGGACAGCCTGGCCAGATGAGTCAGGGGAGTGATGTTGATCCCCCTGAATGTACATGTTATTTGTTGCGGGCCACTGGCTTGGATTTGGACATGCCCCCGCTGATGCTTCCAGGAGGAGGAGGAGGGGGAGGAGGAGGAAGAGGAGGAGGAGGAGAAGGAGGAGGGAGGAGTGAAGAGGGAGGAGGGAGGAGGGTAGAAGAGGAGGAGGAGGAGGAGGAGGAGGAGGAGGAGGAGGAGGAGGAGGAGGGAAGAGGAGGTATTTGACGTTTTGGTTTCTATGGGGCTTCCGGGGCTTCCCTGGGCGTCTGCATACCTCCAGGGGCCTCTGGAGGCTTCGGCAGTGGCCTCCCGGGACCTCCAAAGGCCTCCAGATACCCCCTCGTCGTCGTCGTCGTCGTCGTCGTCGTCGTCGTCGTCGTCGTCGTCGTCGTCGTCGTCGTCGTCGTCGTCGTCATCGTCGTCGTCGTCGTCGTCGTCGTCGTCGTGTCCGTCATCAGGGCTCGGCCGGTCATGGACGACCCCGGCGCCACTTTTTCACCAATCGCCGCAGGCGGCGGACCGCGCAAGGCTGGCCGGCCAGTCCGAGTCGGCCTTTGCCTCCGCGGCGACGGCCACGGGGCTGGGGCGGGTCGGGCCGTGCAGGGCGGGCCAACCCAGGGCAGAGGCAGGCCAGGAGGAGGAGGGAGAGGGCCAGCAGGAGGCGCCTCCAGAGGAGTGGCGCCTGCATTCGGTTACGGCCCCACGCTTTGCACTCATGCTTGGCATCGCTCGGACGTGGGCATGCTTTCTCGGCGAGGGCCATCGAGGAGCATCCCGGATCATCTCGCGAAACATGCACGCACGACATCGCAAGAGGCACGGGGAGCGGACGTCAGAGCGATGGCAAATGCTCCAGTGCATGGTTGCTTCCACAGACGGGCACGCGCCAGGCCGCTAGGGAGGAGGAGGAGGAGGAGGAGGAGGAGGAGGAGGAGGAGAAGGAGGAGGAGGAGGAGCACGCAGGAG